TCATCATCATCACCATCATCATCTCATCATCATTATCAGCAGCAAGAAAATATCAGTTTCAGCATCACATCATCATATCGTCATATCATCACCATCATCATATTCCTTCAGACAGAAGGCTCCCTTTTGAAATGCAGAGGGCCCGAGACTTTGAATTGCGCCGCAGCAGCAGCAGCAGCAGCAGTCCGCGCACATCTTGTTCAAGTCACCACGTTGACGACAACTGCCATTTTATGTCGGCTCGTCCATCGTACATAGCGGTACTTAAGGTTCCAGACAGGAGCGTTCTAGCCACAAGCGGATAGTTTTGTGAAATCCCACGACATGTGACACGCGGCACTGTCCACAGACACCCTTGATTTCGTTTAGCAAGCTTAGTAGAAAGAACGACATTAACCGGTTTTCTTTCAAGTAACCATGGCCAGAAAGCATTATTCAACACCTTGCAGCCTCCCAGCACGGCAGCCAGGATTCAATCCTGTCGCACGACATCCGAGAGCCCAAGGCAGTACAGCCATGAGCTTAGCCTTGGGTGTGAATGAGGTATGAGGTACGCTTCGAGATATGGCCTGAAGCATATGAATAAGTTAGGGCTAGGAGTTCAGAGGTTTGGAGTTCCTGATGCTACTTAGGGTAAGTCGGCACAAGAACCCATTGTCCTTAACAGCCATCCCCAAGCAGCAGTGACGACGTCCATACATGATGTACTAGGGGGACGGCGAGGGGTAGGAGGAGTAGCAGTTGCAGACGCATGACGAAGTCATTTTCATGGTGGGAACAAGGGCAGCAGTGGCAATACTAGCGCCTGCTAAGGCAAGACATGAGTAGCCGCACTGGCGTGCTAGCGTGAATGTTCAAAGAACAGCAGCAGTAGGAGGAGTAATGGCGAGTTCTGATACATCTTATAAGCTTCAAATTGTCTTCGCCATACGCCTCGTTTGCCGAGGGTTTTGTCCTGCCTCTCCACGGGCAATGATGTGCGATGGCAGGCAGCTGCTGACATCAATCTGTTTCTACTGGCTTTACTAGCATTATTTCAGTACTTTGGAGTGGTGTAGTCTATGCGCCTAACATCAAGCAACTCCCCCTCCTGACATAGCAGGTGTATTTGATATCCAGAGGGCTGGCTGTACAACCTTAGGGGAAGGGGAGTTTGTGGAACATCGAGTCCTATGCCAGGCGGCGCCATGGTTCCTATCGATACGGTTTTGGGGATTTCTGTGATATCCATCTCAGGACCTGGTGCGTTTACTGGCTCAGAGCTCCGTTTGTCATGAACCCATGGGCTTATGCGTTGTCTTAGCCAATTCAGCGGCTTCTGTCTCCAGCAGGTTCGCCAAAAGACTTACGCATCCGCGGACCAATCTGAGAAACCTGCATAGAACATTCGTATACAAGTCCCACACAGACCTGGTGTGGCAGTTTCCAGAAAGAGGGGTCTCTACTGCAGACCCACTATGCGATAATTCCGGAAGTCCCAAAACAAGGGACCCCTTGGTTTTTGAAACATCGTGTCATTGACTGTTTGGCCTGTCAGGGTTCGATGGCACGTGTGGTCTGCAAGCTCAGATGTTTTGGCTGTGTCCTAAAGACCAGCTTTGATGTTGGTGTTGTTAATTCTTTTCCGGGGAATGTTCAGGGAATAGATATATATATATATGGTGGTCTCAAAAAGAAGCGTGTCCCTACGTTGGCAGTCCGCATACTGAGGGCTGGCATGTTTGGATGTGAACAGGAGTTTTGGCTGCATGTCTCTAAGGGCTGCGGAGACCACCAATAATGCCAATAAGAATACTAGCAAGTATTTAATCATGATAACAATACTGAGAAGAAGAATAATCAGAATCTTACATGCCTGCATGAGTGGTGGAGTATGGATAGCAGTGCTGTAGAAGCCTGAAGGGCGAGGAAGGCTATCACCTTCAAACTCTTTGTATGGCAACGATCTAACATACCGCAAACTGTCTCACATTCTTGTGGAAGAAGTGGGCTATGTAAAATAGACGCCTCTCTATATGTGGGCAGCTCTTAGGAAAGCTCTCTTCAGCATTCCTACATGGGACCTGTAAACCCGAAAAGGGCACAAGCATGTTGCTGGAAACCCCCAACCTCCCTGCATGTCCCAACAAAAACGTGACGTAGCCCTATGCTTCGAGCATATTCAGGGATGGAGCTTATGGGTTGTTTTTTGGATCCTAAATCCTTTATTCGCCCCGTTACCCAAGACCCCAAACCTCAAACGCGTACGAGTCGCAAAAGTCCGACGGGATAAACAAACATGTGTAAGCCGAATCGATCGAGGTATGTCCGCCCCACTGCGAGCGCGAGCTCAGCTCCAAGATTCGTGGATGTCCTCGGGTTACCTTCTGGGTTGCTGTTGAGGAACTTAAATGAGGTTATCGGAATAGTAGGGCAATTACAGTCAATAATCGGGTTGCCTGATTAAAGCAACCAAAATTTCAGTTCCTGAACAGGCCTTTAACCTTTGAGCGTGGAGGGGTACTTGGGTTTTGGTTCACTGTTCCAAAGAATGTGTATGGCTTTGAAAATGAGGATGAAGGAAATGGTCTCTAGCTGTGAGGACCAAAGAATGCCACTGTCTTTACCGAAGGTCCGTGTAGAAGGCGCACAACTTGCGCGGGCATGCGCCACACCTAGGGGTTTAGAAGAACCCTGAGTGAGGACCGCTGGGATAGGGCGCGGCTTCTTTCAACAGTGTCTATTCCTGATGCATGCCGGATTTGTCACCACAGAAGCTAAGTTATGCAGTTGTGTCTGTTGAGCAAATGTTAAAAGCAGTGCGTGCAGCAGGCATGCACTCCAGTTTTCAAGGCACATAGCCTGCAACCGCTTGCCTGACTCTTTGCGCATTTCCTGACGGCACTCAGGCCTACAGCTGTGGCAGTGGGCACCGGCGTCCATCCAAATGGCTCCCCGGTGTGCCCTGCCCTCTTCGATACGTCAGCGTCATTTCCAGTTATGTCAACATTTATTGAAAATCATGCAACTGCAGTTTTCTTGTGCCTGCGCACGGCCACCTTGCGTGGGCGCTGAGGTCTTGGAGCCATAGTGGACAACATCCTGCCAGTGCATGGTGGGGAAATGGTGCTCTCGAAGGACCTTGTGCTCACACATTGGGGAACACAAGCATGTGGTTCCCAGACTTGAGGTCTCTTAGGCATCTTGACTTTGGAAACCCCCGGAAACAGACTTCAAAGGTCCTGTCAGGGCCAGTACTGAGTCAGAAGTCCAGGCGAGTTGCCAGCGCAACGGATAATATGGGAAGGCTGACATCGCTGCTACTAGGTCCCTACAAGTGCATCCAGTATCGTCCTACAGTTGTATGTGTGGAGGGAGGAAATTTGGCGCAATGTAGGGTACCCAAAGTATTGCAACTCTCAAGTCTACGGGGACTTGGGGTGGTGCGGGACTGCTCCTTCAACAGTGGCATTCTGCTAACCGTCGCTAAACAGATCTTTGACACAATTCATTCGATGTTCAGTCTAGTTTTGTGTCAAACCCTGAAACCATACAAGTCCCAAACATAAAAGCCCTAAACTCTAAGCTCTTGAACCTTTCGACCTTGCGGTCTGACGATCTTCTGCGCAGGCTGCGCCAGCCCAGGCCCAGCGAATGGCCGGCAAACCAGTGGCTGAGCTGCAGTTTTCCCATGCTTGCCGGTGATTTCAGGTTTGGGATATCACTAAGGCTTAGGGTTTAGGGTGATATTACCCCACTTGTGGAGAATCTAACGGAAAAGGAATGGCAGATTGAATGAAACTTGGTGTATACATGTGGGTTATATTAACTTTCCTCTGGCTATAAGGGGAGCAAGGAAAGGAAAAGAGAATGGAAACTAAGTTCTTTTAGGGTGGTGAGAAGGGAAGGAAGAAATGGAGAAGACAATGCAATAAACAGTGTTATTGTGGAATAGATTGGAACTAGACGGGGATCCATTCCCGTGTTTCAATTTCTGAAGACGGGTA